AGCAGGCAGACAAGAGACCGTTTCTGTTGAATCCTGTTGATGATGGGATGGGTCAGAAGAGATTGACTGGAGAGGTTGAGTTGTGAAAAACTTGGGCCTAATAGTCAGTACTGCCTTTCGCTAAGCACCCCACACACAGGCTGTTAGTGAATCTTTGCATGGGGGTGCATGTGGTTCCCTGGCTGGACACCCGCCAGGAGCGAGGACGGGATGAGGCAGGCTCCACGGGGCTGGGAAGGTTCCTCCTCCTTGGGCCTCCAGCGTCATCCTCGGGCCTCAGAGCAGTCCTCCGGGCCTCCGTCAGACGGGTCATGCTTCGTGGGCAGCATTGATTTTATGTTTACTTGTGAAGGGACAGAATATGAGATTACCAAATAAAATATAATTTCAAATGTTATTAATGAAAGAATGTATTACATTCACTTTTAATGAGATCCGGTGTTGTAAAATGATTCCCTGTAATGAATCCCAGGAAATCAATGAGGAGCTTAATTACAGTTGTGGCAGTGCCGTACGAGAGTATTGCTTTGGTCAGTTCTCCTTGCACAATTTATCAATCCTCCGCCCTTCTCTTTCTTTAACTTAATTGCTTTGATGCAGTAAGTACAATACATTCTTTGTTAGCTTTTGATCTTTTTTGGAAATGTTCTACAAAATTCCAGTTTCCTTGGCTGTAATAATCATCCTTATAATTTTGTAATGTATATTACCATTCACAATTTGTACATTTTAAAATTAGGCAGTTATTTCTGTTTTTTAAATTTATGATCATGTTTTACCTTTTGCCTTTGTCAGTTTTTTGTAAACCACTTTCTATCTCTCAACTTATCAGTTGAACCCATTAGTTAAAATTTGATGTGCTTTGTATATTATTCATCACTCATTTAAGCCCTAAGGTGAATGTAAAGAAAAAATGAATGAAGAGTTTTGCTTTCATGTAACTACATATTCTTTTTTATTTTAAAGTGAATTTTCTTCTCACAGCATTTTTATTTTGACAGCTTAATGATTATGGTGCTCTCTTGTCCACTAGGTGTTAATTGATTTTTCTTATTTGTTTATAAAACACTATACAAAATGTAATTTGGATATTTAGAGGTATTCTTTATTTGGATGTTTAGAGGTTCTTTATTTTGGTGACTAGCTTTTGCTAATTATATATCGAGAAAGGATTTTCTATGTTCTATAAGGTAGACTGCTTATAAGGTGTTTATAAGCAGTCTACTTCTGATGTAAGGTTCAAGGCCTTAAAATAGTCAGGAATTATTTTGACTGACTTATTCTGTGGATAAAAGCAATTTACTTAGTTCATTTTGAAAGGGAATGCCATGCAGCCTCTTTCCTCTCAAAGTCTCCCATTGACACCATCAGCCTTTCTTGGCGGCGGCATTCGTCTGTACAGCTGAGGGGTGGCCTGGGTGTTAAGGATGTTTCTTCCAGCCCTGGCTTGTCGCACACACAGGGCAGCGTGTGCAGAGTCGCCAGCCACCGGGAGGCCGTGGAATGGTGCAGAGGATGCCACAGTGTGGCACGCAGCCTGTCCCTGAGGCTTTGCGCTGGACGGTGTGATATCAGAGAACGGAGCTGTTTGAGTATCCTGAAAGGACTTTTGTTTGCTCTTTTAAAAATGCTGTTTTCTTGGTGGTCACTAAATGTGTGCAGGTCTGGCTGTTCCATGACAGGCTGTTCTTGTCCTGTCTCACCTGCATAAGATATCCTTTATATGCCCTCAACTACTGTTTCCAAAGCTGGAATCACTGTGGCTTTCTTTTTTTGGGCCTAAGTCGTTAGAGAATTAGAGAGCTAAACGTTTCTTCAGAATGTTTCCTTTGAAATCGTGTTTAGTCTTGAATTGCTGCCCTGGGTCCACGGGGTTTTCGCTGCTGTTCTGTACGGAGGTGAGAGGGTTGTGTTCTGACTTGTAGTGTGGCGTGTGGGCCAGGCAGAGCGGAGAAGGGGGTACAGCCTGAGCCAGCTGCTCTTCTCCTGCGTGTGCCTCTGTGACTTCCAATAAGCCCCCTGTTTGCCTTTAGCTACTCGTCTTCTGTTTGTCTCCCCACCTTTATCCAAACCTGTTTCTCTTTCCTGGGCCTTGTTCTTCAGTCTGTCTGCTCAAACCTGTACTTCTGTCCTCTTTTCTGGAGGCAACGCTTCCCCGGGAGGCTCAGGTACACACACTGTGTGGGACCACCAAGGTAAAGGAAGAACCCCTTTGCCAAATACACGCTGTCTAGGAACTTCTGGGTTAGGTTGACAATCTCCACACATGCATTTAAGTCACCTTTGCAAATTATATTGATCCCAATCAAATAAATAGAAATATGAAGAAGCCTGTGCCTGGCCTAAGTGTTAGGCACAAGGCATGTCCAATGGCAGAACTATAAAGTTTCTGGATGCTGCTGATAAAATTGGACTGAAGGGCATGCCAGCCAACTTGTGGCCATTAGAAGGGATGTCAGTTTCTCTGGCATTTACATTTGCTTGTTGATGTCCGCGATGGTGCCTTCCAGTCTTGCCTCCTGTGGCCCTCACATGTTTGACACCCATGATACCTCATTCTCCTGATTCTTTCTCCAAATATTCTTTGTCTGGGTCTGTCAGGATTCCTTTACTCCCAAAGGTAAAATTCTGATGTTTCTGATACACTCCTTTTCACTATCTTTGCTGGCTGTTCTCTGGGGCTCAGCCATGGTCTGTGGGTGCAGGATTCAGAGCATTGGGCCTCCCACCTTCTCCATCTCTTTCCTGGGCTCCAGTGTAATGTTCTGCACGCGTCTACCTGAATGGCCTACAGTTCCTCAAAGGCAGCGCCTTTTCCTGAGCCCAGCCAGCTGGATCACCTTCCCCCGATTTCCTTATTTCTGTCACTGTGGTCCTTCTTCTTCATGCACCCAGGTGCAGCCCTTTACCTTTTATTCTTTTATGCTGTTACTTTATCTTCCACCTTTCACAGTTAAGAAGTCCTAACAGTTGTTCCATCAAAATACCCTTTACATCTGTCTGGTTCCCACTCTTACTACGTTTATGCACAGTGGGTTAATGGCATAGACTCTCACATTGTTTCTCTGCACAACTATGCCTGTTGTAAGTCCTGGTGCCCATTGCTACCGGGCAGTTATGGGTCTTATGGGTCACTTTCTTCATTAGACTGTCTCTACTGCCCATCAAATGAAATGCCAACTCCTCAACTTGATATTCTGCCATCTGACAGCCGCCACCCTTCCTCCTCTTCCTCTGGGAAATTCTGCTCTGTACTTGGCCTAGTGGTAACCCTGAAAGTATGGCAGAGAACCAGGTCGGGGCTTCCGCCTTCCAGGGACCCATGTTCCATGTGGGGCCACAGCATGATGAGTGCTGTGTGTGATAATGAAGGATGCTGTGAGGGAGGAGTCGCTGGGAGGGCCACTGCAGACATGAGGATCAGAGTTCTCTCTATGAGGTAATACTTACAATGAGATCTGGAAGATGAGAAGGAGTTGATGGTGAGAGAGGCAGAGGAGGCGGAAGTGCATGGACCCGGAGGCAAGAAGGATCTTGGCTTAAAAACAGAAGGTCCTGTGAGGGGAGACGAGTCAGTGAGCGAGAGAGGCACCAGTGCACTTGTGTGGCTGGGGAGAGAGCTTGCATCTCATTCCAGGTGTAGTGTCAAAGGATTTCCTATGCAGCAGATCTGTGTACATTTTAAAATATCATCCGTGCTGGAGCAAGGTTGAAGAAAGAGGAGACCAATAAGGAACGAGGCCCTTCCAGTTTTCGAGGCAAGATAATAGCTTGGGCTAGATGACATGTTTCTCAGTGTCAGCATATGACATTTGGGTCCAGAAAGTTCTTTTTGGGGGCTGTCCTATAATATGTCTATAAGCATCCCTGGCGCCCACCCACTGGAGCACAGCAGTATCCATCCCCTCCAGTCGTGACAACCACTCTGTCTCCAGGCATTGCTGACTGTCTCTGTGGCAGCACCACCCCGGCTGTGAGCCGTGGGACGAGAGGATGGCAGCAGAAGTGTGTTTGAAATGCGTTGTGGAGGAGAACAGACTGTACTTTGCAATGGGTGGGATGTAGAGAAGGGAGAGAAAGGAGAGGTTCAAAACTGCTTCCTAGCTGTTTGGTTTGACAATCTAGGCAGAAGTCACAGGTGCTTTAGAGTCTTGACAGTGGTCTCTTGCCCCTGTGCTGGTTCTTGGAATTATCCAGCCACCTGTAATGTTGCCCATCCCACTACTTGCCTGTTTCTACATCCCGCTGAAGGTCCCGTTTAAATGCCATCTTCTTGAAGTCTTTTTCTCCAGTTAATTCACTAACAGTGATCATTTTTTCAGTTTCTGCAGCCCTGTGTCAGTACCACTCTCAGACACTTCCTGGCCCTGTAGCTTCTGCAAACCCCCAGGGAAAAAGGACCAGGGCTTAAGAAAAGGGGCAGTCACCGTGGATGCTCAGATTGCATGGCTTTGTTTCTGCATCTTGCCTCTTCTCTTTGTTTCTGTTGGTGGCTGTAGTCATCCTCTTGTCATCTTCTGGGCCCTGGGGCCACCATCTGTTACAGGCAAGCCCTCTGCTCAGGTAGAATTAAGACCCACAGACCAGGGCCTTGCTCTTTCCTGCCTTGTGTTATACAGTTATGACTGTCTGTCTGTCGTCTCCCCGTCAAATACATTCTGAGCGCAGGAATGAGACCTTGTTCATCCCTTCATCCCACACAGTGCCTAATGCCCAGCATAGTACTGGTTATGAAGGAGGTATTCAATAAATGTGTGTTGAGTGAATAAGAGAGTGGTTCAATCTAAAACATCCACCTTATTTTTTCTCTCATGTATAATGGAATTAAAGGAAAAAGACCATTTTTCTGTGATGAGCACACATAATGTTTATAGTGGGAAAAATGTTTGTTTTTCAGTGGAAGGTTAGCCTTGGTTGGGTTCCCTGGAAGATGGCTTGTCTGCCGTTTGCAGTGTGGGGCTTGTGTTGGTAACGAGATGTCTGCTCTGCTTCTGTTTCAGCTCTAGTTGTCAGCACCACTTCAGCGGGATTCGCATTGGCCCCGGGGCCCTTCGACTTGTCCTGTTTTCTGCTCACTTCTGTGGGAACAGGCCTGGCATCCTGTGCTGCCAACTCCATCAATCAGGTGGGTTTATCGCCTTCCAGGTAGATCATGATACTGTGACTCATTCCCAGCTTGTGGTATTATCACGTTTTTAAAAAAACTTCCAAGGTCACATATGCATGAAGAGTTACTATGAACTTATAACAATGTACCCAAGGTGTCTTTTCTTTTGAGGTGAATGGTTTTCAGTTATGTTCTGGTGAGAAAATAATAGCATATCTGCTTCAAGTAACCAGCATGCCTTGTGTTAGAAAGTACTTTAAAGCTGTCAAACTTTTCCATTCTTGTCCATTTCCGGTACATTTCCCTGAGCTCATCATTGTGTGCTCCTCTTTCTTTCCTTTGATTTTGCATTTTAAGTCACTAGTATACAAAAAAGAATGCATATCCAACTTTTAAAAAACATTAGTAACTCAGTATTTAGTAAACCTGGTGTCTGTCATCAGATTATGTCAAAATTAGCATTTTATTAATTAGCTAATTGTATTTAACATGTTATTTATTAGCATATTATTTTCAATTAGCATGTTATTTCATTAGCATCTTATGTTTAAATCTCCCCCCCCCCCCCCCCCCCCCCCCCCCCCATTATTTTAAACATCAAAATAATTCTCTAAAAGATTTTTTTCTCCTGTCATTGTGGTGTGCCCCAACGTTGTGGCTTTTTCATAAGATAACTATGTGAAGGAGCTTGGCTAAAACTTAGGGAAAGCTGCTTGCTTTCATCACAAGAACACCCAAGAGGAACTGGCACAGCTTTAAAACAGGAACTCAAGTCAGCAGCAGGAAAACAGCTTGGCTGAGTGGATATATAAGTTGGTAGTCCATAAAATATGGGAATTTTAGTGTTATAATGACTACATTCATTGTGTTTTTATAAAGTCTTATCAGTTACTTGGAGAAGTGTGAATCTATTTCAAGTAAGATTTATTTTTTTTGTTATTATTTTTAAAGTCAAAACAGTCTTATATTGAGTTCAAATAGCCCTCCCACTACACAGCAGTATTGTCGACGCCTGTGGCCTGTGATGCCACCTCTTCCAAGTCGCTCCTTCCTTATGCTACCCTCCCATATTTCTTGGCTAAGAGAATAATAATGGTTTCACAATAAACATGTTTTTAATGAAAATTTGAGTGAAAAGCAATATAAGCTAAATGGATTTATATGGCTATTTTGGGTCTTTTACGAAAAAACTTTAAATTTTTACCTTTGTTTAGTTATAAATCTAGGCCATAAGATTCAGCCAGGAACTTAGTCTAGTTCCCAGGCTTGTGTGTAAAATTGAAGAGCTGTATTTACCCTTGAGCTACTAACTGCTGTCTCCTGTTTGAATTACATAGATTTAAATGAAAGGTTTAAAATAAAAGGTTTAAAATGAATTCAGGAAAGAAAAAAAACCAGTAATAACAATAAACTAATAAACATCAAATGGTTAGCAGAAATGCCAGGATTTTATAAAAGACTAGAGGCCCAGTGCACAAATTCATGCACCAGTGGGGTCCCTCGGCCTGGCTTGAGGGATCAGGCCAAAACCTGCTCTCCAACATCCCCCGAGGTGTCCCGGATTGCAAGAGGGCACAGGCCAGGCTGAGGTACCCCACCAGTGCACGATCGGGGCCAGGGAGAGACACGGGAGGTTGGCCAGCCAGGGAGGAACCACAGGAGGACTCCAGGGCATGTCCGGCCCGTCTCGCTCAGTGCCGATCAGCCAGACCCCAGCAGCAAGCTAACATACCGGTCGAAGCGTCTGCTCCCTGGTGGTCAGTGCACGTCATAGTGAGCGGTTTTTGCGGCCTTAGCATTCATTATTATATTACACTTTGATTGGTTGAATGGACGACCGGACACTTAGCATTTTAGGCTTTTATTATATAGGATAATACAGAGCCACCTTGAGTTGAAGCTGCGACACCCCCAACCTGCCGCTGCCCTAAAAAAGGCAGTTCAAAGAATTTATCATGGAAAAAAAAATAAAAAACCTGTCAGTTATAGCAAGACAGTATCTGGAGGAAAGAAATGGAGTGATTTACATTTAATCAGTAATTTACAGAAACTGAATATAGACCTAGGTTTTAGAAACTTTAAGAAGACTATGAGTTTAGGTGGCACTTTATTTCAGAGTCTGTAGGAAGTTTATTCACAGTAGAAAGTGGGTGGGGTCTGTGGATTTTAAACGGTTCCTGAGGAAAGCCTCAGACTACATGATGGGATTCCTCCTGGTGCTGATTGTTTCCTGCCTCGGTGGGCTGTCCAGCCCTGCCCTGCTGCTCACCTAGCACCTCCCTGCTCTTCCTTTGGAGCACTTTCCCTTCCTTCCTCCACATGTCACTCCCCGCCCACAGCCCTCTCCATTGTCGGGCGTGTTGTCACCTTGATTGGTGCTTGTTGGGTACATGAATAATGGCTTCATCTTCTTGTATTCAACATACTGCTTTCTTCCACTTTTCTTGGGCTCTAATTTTAGTTGGAAGCTTCACAATTGTTTAAAATTTTTGCTGATTCCCATAACTGTACAATTCTGTTGTTATTATGTTATTGATCAGCTTCCCAAATTATGATATTCTGTAAATAACATGTTGGAAATGTTTTAGTTCTAGTGTTGGTAGGCATTCTTATAAAATCAAGTTAAAGGAAGGTGAGGACATTTTCATTAGTGCCTTTAATTAGTGTAATACTAGACAACAAGGGTTTAGCTGAGTTTTTGAATACCAGATAAAGACGTAGTCTTTGGGGAAATGGAAGCACTTACTACTTTTTTTAGGGAGCTGGTGTTCACTCAAGAATGCATATATGTGGTGGTAGGTGTAAGAGTTCTTCAGCTTCTAATAGAGATCCATGGGAGAAAAAATTCCCACTGGCCGTGTTTATAAAGGAATTCCAATCCAGTTCACATTTCTAAATACTTTTTTTTAGCTGTTATTAATTTAGTTCTGAGTGACTCTTCTTTGTACCCTACTTCTGTGATCTCTCTGTGAAAGTAGGAAAAATAAAGCCTTGGAAAACGATTCTTACATTTGTTTTAAGGAGAGAAAATGAGATTCAGCTTCTGATTTATGAAGTAGTGACTAGTGCATAAAGATATGTATATGAAACCACTAACATTAAACTGTAGAAAGGAATTACATGGTTTATAAAATATACATGTGCTTAATTTGACACTATAATGTGGCTTTAAAGCAGGTATGCCTTCAAAGGATGAAAGCCATTCATAAAATGTTTTTAATTTAGCCACTAAAAGATAAAATATTGTTGATGGCTTTGACTGATTGAATCTTGAGAAACAAATGACTAAAAGTGAAAAGCTGAATAAATTCAAGTAGAATGAATGAAGAAATTTAAAAAGATAAAAATTATCATAATTACTTTGAATATTTGACATCATAGATGCTATAATAAACTGTATTGAGGATTATTTACTTATGTTACATATATGAATTTTTTAAAGAGGTTAAGAGTATATGTCAATAAATACATTTCTACAGGATACATTTTAATTGTGACATACTATTCCATTTCATGGATGCGCCAGTTCTCAATCAGTTCTCTATTATTGCAAATTTTCGCTTCTAAGGTAACACAAAGTACCGGAAGTGAAACTGCTGAGAGGAAGGCTACCAGCCAAAGCGTATATGAAACTGGTTTAACTTTGAAATATATGATCTTAACAAAATAACTCATTTCTGACATTCATGCAGTGCTTCCGAGTTTACAAGGAATATTTACATAAATTATTATTTAAACCTGTGGTCCTGTGAAGTAGGTGGCATTTCCATTTCTATTTGTAAAAAAATTAGTTTAGCTGTTGAATTATTCTTTTTAAGGTAACATTTAAAAAATGTACTATGCAAATAATTTATTTATTGCAGAACAGTGAGAAAATGGAGATAAGCAAAAAGAACAAGTTTTGTTTTATTTTTCCATTATGCCAGACACTGTTGTGTGTTAGAGCTATAGCAGAAAGCCAGATTCCTGCCCTCATAGTGCTTACACGATCCCTTGTTAACACTTGAAACCTCTATGATCTTATTAACCAGTGCCACCCTAGTGCATTTATAGACTTCTTTAACACACAGGCACACATCTTCCGATATAATTTTTCTCATGGAAATGAATTATATACTATATGTAATTCGTGTATTTTTCCATAAATAGTATATCAGAAACATCCTGGTTAGTATTTGTTATAACATGATTTTAAGAGTTATATATAAATACACCGTGATTTGTTTAATCAATTTCTTCTTATTGGACATTTTAGAGATCTCCAGTCTTTTGTTCAACATAAACAATGCTGAACTGCAATTCCTGTAGCTAAGTTGTTGAACATGTCCTTAACTATGTCTTTCAATAGATTTCCAAAATCATGTGGTGTGTTAAAAGATGTGTAGTTTTCAAAATAAAAACTTAAAATTTAAAAAATATGTATATTTAAAATTGATTTTAGAGAGAGGATGGAAGAGAGAGAGAGAAACATCAGTGTGCAAGGGAAACATTGATCGGTTGCCTCCCTTATGCATCCAGACTGGGGATCGAACCCGCAACCTGGGTATGTGCCCTGACCAGGAATCGAACCTGCCACCTTCTGGTGTGCGGGACTATGCTCCCACCACTGAGCCACACCAGCTAAGGCAAAAAGATATGTATTTTAAGTACAGCTAAATTTCTTCTCAGAAGGCCTTTAGTTTGTTTCGTATCAACTTAAACTTCCATTTGACAGTGTGTGAGAGTGGTCGTCATCAACACCGCATGTTAGAAAGTCTATGCCAGGTTTCTAGGTAACATTAGATGTGCCCTTTTGAATTAAGTTGTATTGATTATTTAGGAAGTAGAGTTAGTTTTTGTTTGGGGGATTTTTTTAATGCTTTTTGGTCAATTTATGTTTACCGGTGAGTTTTATCCATTTTGCTATTAGGCACTCACTTTTGTCCATCAGGTCTTAGCTTAAGGTATGTAGATTGGTTTATTAACTATCATTAGGACTTACATATTTTCTGCAGTTTTGGGGGTGTTTTTTTGTTTGT